CTCCTGCCTCATTGAGGACATGACACCATCGTGGGCCCTTAACAGATCCTACTTCGCTCCAGCCTCTTTTATTTTTTTTTCCCCTTGTAAATCTCTTGCACAAACTCCTCACCTCTTGTTGTTGATTCCCCTTTCCTAGTATCCAACTATGACGAGGTTTCCATGTGCATGAACTGTGGAGTCATATTCCTGTAGATTTTTATAATCCTTAAAGTCCGACGTGGTTTGTGAGTAAGAACATGTTTTTTTGTTGTTGTGTTTTCTTCCCCGCCCCCCCCATTTGTGGGGTTAAGGGTTGGAAAATAGAGAAACGACATACGACGCTGTGAAAACGCTGCATAACTGCAGATACCGAGGCCACAGGTGCCTGTGTAGATGCACAGAACAGAGTCAGACCTTTGCTTTGTGCCAGGTGACAGCAGCCTGGACACCAGAGACCTCCAGGGTGTAGTCTGCCACAGTGTGAAGCCCCTGAGCATAGGGCCAGTGGCACTGAGTGAAGCCACAGCCTAGGAGAAGGGCCAAGCTATTCAAGAAAAGACTATGTTTCCGAGAGTGTTGGTAAAGGAGAGGAATGTAATGATGTATCTACTTTGGCTCAGGGTTTCTTCTACCTATTTGGTGTATCTGGGAGAGCTGCTGGGAAGGGGTGCACAGGTTGGGCCCACCAGATAATGCAGGCTGATATTCCCAGCTCAAGATCCTTAATTTAACCACACTGGCAGGGTCCCTTTTGCTGTGTAAGGTAATGTACTCACAGGTTTCCAGGATTGGGATGTGGACATCATTGGGAATTGAGGGCAGCAACAGAGGTGAAGTTGGAGTTGTTGAATGTTCCTCTTTGTCTAAACCAGTGGATCTTTACCCAGGATCCAGGGTCTCCAGGTGTCCATGGCCTGGTCTTCAGGGGGATCTGTGGCCCTTCTTAAAGTGTGGGGGAAGGGAGCCTGTCTAGGTTTAAAGGTGTGTTTTCCTGGTGGTAGGTTCTCTTTGGGAGGGAGGTGTTTCTTCAGTGGCACCAGGCAGGACTGGGCCTCTCTCTTCATTACACCAGCAACAAGTCCTCTGAACTCCTCATTTCTATAGAAGTTGGGAGCCAATTTGCAGGCTCTAATATGACCTGTCTGGTACAAATGAGGCCTTCTTGGAACAAGAGAAGAGCCCTCCCCTTTCTCTGGAGAGCATTCCCAGCCCCTGGCTGAAAGTTTCATTCTCTGGTTCGTATGTCTGTCACCTGCAAGCTCCAAATTCTGCGTTCCACACACTGTGACACTAGAGACCTCTCTGCATTACCACTGTTGGTGGAACCTGCTCATACCACTTCCAAGGAGACACTTGGAAGACAGGAGAAGATAGAATTCAGCGTGAACTATCAAAACCCTAGTGTCCAGCTTTCCCTAATGGCACTGTCCAACAGAAAATGCCAGGTGCCAGCCCTCCCTGCAGCCTGGAAGCCACAGTGTCGATGTCATCAAAAATACCAATATATGCTAAACAAGGCCCCACTGTACATGGCTGCACAGTGCCAGCATCGACAGAGGGTACTGATTCCTTGAGTGGAACCCTCCTTTAGTTGGAACAGGACAGTGGAAGAGTCGGGGGTGCCTTTCCTCTAGACTCTAGAGGAATGAAGAGGACTGGGACAGCCACAGGGCACTCTTGAAGACACCGTCACACCAGTGAGGGGATTTAAGATTGCACTGTATTTATTTTAAGGTAGCTTTTAATTTAGTTTAATCAGAATTACTCATAAATTATCGATTAATTACTATCTGCTGATCAGTTAAATCCTCTTAGCCATGGAGC